CGATAAATTTATGTGATCGAAATTGCTGCAAGGTGAAAATAATTAAGGGTTAAATAATAATTGTTATAATATATTGCATTTGCGTACTTTTACTTAATATTATTACCTGATAGGTTTTATAACGAGAATAATATTATAAGCGTAACTATAGTACCACAAAGGCTTAAATATATTATATATTTTCGTATTACACGCTTTATATAAGACTTGGAGTTAACGGGGGAGGAGAGGCATGTATTTAAATTATACACTACACATGAAAATGGGGTAATCAATTTTTATTTTTATTTACCTAAAAAGTACAGACTACATCAAACATCACAATAAAATAGTATCGGCCTTGAAAACATTACCTAGCTATATGGTCCATTTATTGAAGAAAAAACTGTAAAAAATTTACGAGTTATTACAGGCCATTATTACACAATTTTTAATTTCGTAGGCACTACTCACAATTTTAGTAATAATAATACGTCCATATTATACGAATATCTATACTGAGAAAACAAATGTTGTTAAAATTTTAATTAAAAAAAAAACTTTAGCTCGGTCGTAAGAATAAAATCAAAAATTGAGCACATTACGCATACGTCTGCTTATTCGCGGTTTTCGCGCKTGGTAATGAATTCGTAGTGATATAATAATAAAATGGCCTTGATTAATAAAAATATCGAAGGAAATTTTGAGTTGTGTTTTCGTGCATGCTATCATGGCACCGCGATGACAACCGTTTCATTGTAAATGCGACGTCACCAACGCAATAGCGTGTGGTATTGGTATATACGCATATATATACATATATATATATATATACCATCGTAATACATTGTACTTGGACTTGACTTATTGTATAGACATCATGAACGCTACAACAATTATACTCATCACGAATACAGTGAGCTGCTCAGGTGCATAATATATAGTATATATGGCATTTACAATAGTGCATTCTACATGAAGATACAACTATAATACATAAGCATATTATAATATTATATATTTATACTGCAGGGAGACGACGTGGCTGTTTATAGCCTTAGAACATATTATAATATACACAACATCGTAATAATGTGTGTATCGTGTATGTATAATGTTTATGTATATATAAAATATATAAATATATACACATGTATATTGTATAGCCATAGTATAGGTCTATTGTATACAGCAGCAGTGTTGTTATTCGACCATAATATGGATGTAGTGCACGGTGTATATATACATATGCTATATCAATTTTTCAAATTTTTGTTTTTTTCGTTTGGAATAAAAACCAATGAAAACGTGACACCGTTGCAGTCTGCTATATCGGGTAAGTACCTCCTATATGTGTATATATATATAATATTATAATCTTATAATATATATTATATTATTGTAAATAATGTATAAGCCAATAAGCGACAATGACTTTAGTTTATTATTGTAAATAATGTAAGCCAATAAGCGCCAATGACTTTAGTTGCTGAGCCTTTAATTGATAAATATATATATATATATAATATATATAAATACATCACGACGAACGAGTAATAAAGTCTCCTTCAATGCGTGTGTTTAGCGTGTAATGCACTGAGCACGCGGCATCGTGAAATTCTATTTCGAAGACAATAACTGAACCTCGTATTAGGTATAGCTGCTATATATATAGTGTAATGATATAAAATCTTGTCGTGAAATGATTTGGCACGATAAGTGCACAACGCGCGCACACCATTAGGGTGAAGTTACATATTATACAATTTTATACATATATACATATTATACATATTTTACATATTATTATGTATACCATCAGCTCACGACGGCTTAAGAGGACGTTTCACCCGCATATGTGTTGTCTCCGTCTTACTAGTGCGTAACATGGTACATTTTTCGCTCAGCAGAACACGTGTAGCTCGCTCCGTTAACTTAAAAATTAGAGTGAACTGACCTCTTATAAAATTTAAAGGTAAGATTATTAT